ATCAATCATTCAGGTCGAGGTTGTCCCAAAGGTGCTTTTTCCAAAGGACGACTGAACTTTCTTGTTTTTTTTTCCCTTGAAAATGTTTCACTTCTCATCCAAGAAGCTTCTTCAGTTCAGCATTTTCAAAGAAAAAAACCAAGATTGACAAAATCCAGTTGCCTTTTGGAAAAAACACCGCTGGGACAGTAGAGAAAATAACAGAAAACAAGAAAAGCTTATAGGAACATTCTGGGATCAAGAGCTTCAGGACTTGATCTTGATTGTTGCTTAGAAGTGAATGAGTCGCCCACATGTGAAATTCATTTCAACATATAGAATATCTATCTGGCATACAGTTGAATTGTATTTTAGGGTACCTTATATAGCAATCCAAATATAGTCATGCTTAAAATCAATGGCACTCAATATGGTCCCCAGAAGATTAAAGCCCATAAGCCTACTTAAAATCTGGATACAGCTTACTGTTCAGCGTCCTGCCAGTTTCACAGCCAGTTTGAACTCCACAGTTTTGCTATAAAACTGAACATGTAAAAAGAAAAAGAAAACTACTAATCCAAATAAATCCAAGGTGTTTTCTTCCCAATAATCCAAGATCATTTAGATTTAAATATGAACTGAAGGATGATTTTTCAATACGAGAAATATACATGAAGAAACTAATGGAAGAGAATCAGTCCTTGTGAACTGTAGTTGCACAGTGGAAATCGACTGCTATGAATGAACTCATATCCCAAAGTTATGAACAGCAGAGCTAATGCCCCTGCAAATGAGTTCATCTGATTATTGCATTACACCTGAATCAGTTGATAAAGCAAGTTTTTTTTAAAGCTAGGAATGACACTTAATTGAATAAAAGTCAGTGTAATTATATTAGGAGAAGCCAATGCTACTCCTGACAGCGGAAAAAGGACCTTGCCAGAAAGAGTGCCAGAAGTTGCCCACACATTTCTGCACATTGTTTGCCTGACAGATATTAAGGGCTGGTACATAGCTTAATCCGATTACTGATAGTCAGCGCTGTAAATGATAAGTCAATGGCCATGGCATCACTTTCTATTGATAGCCGAAGCCAGCTGCAACTTTGAACTCACCATCATCAAGGAAAATAAGCAGCCACTTCTACTTGAAGGGAGATTTTTGTGTATGTGTTTGCATCCCCAATGATGCAACATTAATACACATTTATGTCTTGTATTCAGAAAATTCTTGGTGTTATTCCCACATAGATCCAATTGTTTGTTTTTGCCTGCAGCCAATGAAGGAAACTAAATAATAGACAACTTAGCTGCATTTACAGACAAGGCACCTTGTGTGTGCTATATTTTAGCGGGAAAAAAACCCACATAATCTAGGCTCAGTTTGCATTAATGTTTATCATTTCATGTAGTCCACAGCAGAGCTCATGTACTGCAGTGAGTTACAAATGTGTTTGTGGGAAATCTAGCTTCAGTTCCTCTCTTAGCTCTTGAGACTCTTTGGCAAAGCCCCTAATCTCAGTATAAATCTGGCATAAATGGGGTTGCTAAACTATAATTCAGAGGACCTGTATATAACTTTTATGTGACTTTTTAATTTGCATGTGTGTGTGTTGTTTTATTTATTTGCTTACGATTTATTCAATGTACTTGTGAAGCTAAAATATTGTCCTGAGCTTCTCTAGAGACAATACAGGTTACAAACATAACAACTGACAAGATATTTGTGTATAGTAGTTGTCAATGTGCAACAAATTGATTTTATTCTGGAAAAAAAAAAAAAGCATGTTGCCATGGCAAGAAACTGTCATATGGTTTGTTCATGGAGGAATCACTCCAACCTCTGTTTGCATGATGCTATCAGAGGAGCAAACACATTTCTGCTGTTGAAGACATGCTACAGTATAATTGGCAATACAGTCCATATTCAGATGTTCACAGCAAAATGCTTCCGATGTTTACTTTGAGACGTTTCCTTTGAGTTCTTTATCCTGTGACAAATGGGCAAGAAATCCCTTTGCTGAAAAGGCTGTGAGGCTGTCCCTCTCTTGATCATTTATGTATGTGAACCCTGCATGGATCTGTTCAGAAGAAAAATGTGGGCAACGCATATTTGCGCTTTTTTCTTCTTCTCTGATTTGATTTATGGCTTTAGATTGTGTAGTTGGTCCAGCAACCATCAGGACAACAGTGTAAGCGAGATGATGGGTGACAGAAAATGATCTCACAGCCAAAGCATTTTTAGCCTGTATTTTATTGTTTAAAGATTCTCTTTTCATTTTTTTTTAAAAAAGCCAGATGTGACTGGATTGGAATGTGAATTTGTTCTCTTTCTTTTTCTCTCTGTCTCTTTCTTTCTATCTCCTATTTTTCTCCCTCCCTCCCTCCCTTTTTCTCTCTCTGTCTCTGCCTTCCTCCTCCTTTTGCAAAAGATTAGAAAGCTGAACTTATCACAAGGTAAGCTCAGCCTTCATAAGTGCAGGGTTGGGGATAGTGTAACTCCCTTCTTTAATTAAATCAGTGCTACAGTACTTGATGTGAAATGATACTTTCACTCTTGTGGATAAAGTTGCCTTCCTCCTGTCCACCACCTACCACCCTATTCCTTGGATGTATCTCTCAGTAGCTTTTTCTCTTATTTGGGATCCAAAATTACCCATCCTTCATTTCCTAAGGAAAATATATTGTTAGCTTGCCCTGCTACGTTTAATGAATCAAATCAATCCTGACAATATACAGATTCCCTCTCCGAGGAAATGGGCGGTTCAAAAATGTGAAAAATAAAATAAATAAATAAAATATAATGCATCCTCTATTTATTTGTCTATGAAAAAATAACTTTCATTTTATGGCACAAGTGGGTACATTTTGGGATGGCTAGTTGAGAGATACACAACGAGCGGATATATTATTTGACAGCCAATGTGCAAATTACATAAAGAAATCTAATTGCAGGATCCAATCTGGGTCTGTCACCGAAACCAGAAATTTAGTTTCTCGAGTCCGAAAGCATGAGTTTGAAAGTTCGGAAGACTAAGTCTCTAGTCCTGGTGACCGACTCAGATTGGATCCTGCAACATTATCCTGGGACATGTATATTCGCTTTCATTTGTGAGGAATCTAATTCCCTGATCTTTGGTTGTTGATACTCAGTCAGCCCGATCCTGCAAGGCACAGTCATGTGCAGAAGCAGTTAGTAACTGCCCAGCCCAATTTAGATCCAAACTTGCCTCAATTTTCCAATGCCTATCTGAACATCAAGCAAATATCAAATTCAGCATGGTCTGCATCAGACGTGGGTTTCAGCAGGTTCTGAGCAATTCTGGAGAACCGGTAGCAGAAATTTTGAGTAGTTCGGAGAACCAGTAGTAAAAATTCTGACTGGCTCCACCCCCATCTATTCTCTGCCTCCCAAGTTCTAGCTGATCAGGAGGAAATGGGGATTTTGCAGTAACCTTCCCCTGGATTGGGGACGGAATGGAGATTTTACAGTATCCTTCCCCTGCCACACCCACCAAGCCACGCCCACCAAGCCATGCCACACCCACCAAGCCACACCCATAGAACCGGTAGTAAAAAAATTTGAAACTCACCACTGATCTGCATTTGAACTACTGTAGAAGAGAAAGATAAAGGCATGCACTTCCCTCTACATTGTAATGTGATTGGAAATGCATATTGCCAACCACTCTCGGACTGGAAAACATTCTGCTATAGCTATAGCTGTAGCTGTAGCTGTAGCTGGATTGGAAACTGGATTTTTTTAAAAAAAAAAGTTCTTTATTAAAATCTTTTCTCTGAGTCAGTTGTACTTCTGATCTTTGTAAATGTACAGCTGATTTATATATGCCCTCTGCTTTAGTTCTATATGGCAGGGCAAATTTTGAGGATTTCTCCTGGCTGCCCCATCAAAGTTTAGGAATTTACTTTGTAATACACAATTACTGCTTGTGGGACTGTGCATGTTGGTTCAGTTTACTCAGTGACGTCATACTCTGGAAGCCCTGGTTTGTAAGATATTAAGTGTCTTGCTCCCTTTCCAAATGTTTTCTGATGAAGTAGAGCTGGGTTTAGAAAAAGGCATGGCTTTACCAGCATTGTACAAATTGTATGATGTGACTTGGCACGGAATGTCAAGTGCACGCTGACTGCTAGAATTTGGACTGGAGACAATGGCAGATAGCCCATGATATGCATAATGTTAAGAGGAGAACTTGCACAAATCAAAGTTTCAGGTTTCAGTAGGATATTTTGGCACCTTTTAATATGTCTTTCTAACAAAATATACTAAGAACCGAAGACTAGTTGAGTGAGAAGGTAAAATATATCAAAACTATAATAGTTCCACATTTCTGCCCCAGGACTTTGATAATTTGGAATGAGCTATATAGTCAACATATCAACAAGTCCCTCCTCATGACTCAGCAAAGTTTTAGTAACTTAGAAAGCCACACATGGATTGCTACCTTGTAAAATAGCCTCTTTTCTTTCCCTACCATTTTTTAAAAATTGTTTCACTCAGATTTAACGAATCCTGTTCTTAAATACTAGTTTTTCCCCCCTCTCTTCTTGGTAAGAGGATAAATCCATTTCAAGATTCTTTTCTAATTATCCTTTGTTCCCAGTTGGTTCCTATGGTTACATGTATCAATTGGAACCAGTGGAGCCAATGCTGTGATTTGATAAAGAAATTCCATCGAATATCCTCCCCACTAGTTCATATGACACCATGTTTTTGAAAAGAAAAGTAGTAATCAATCACACTGCCAATTAGCCTGATATGTAGTATGATAACCATACAAGAAAAGGGGGGATTGAATTCATGTGGATTTGCAGCATCTTGCCTTTATAGGAATGGTGTCTGAACTGTCATGCTTGCGTTTCTTAAAAAAAAAAAGAGCAACAGTTGTGTTATTGCATGAACATTGTTTGTTACGGTTTTTATTCCATTGCCAAAGTTTGCACTATAATCCATATTCATTTTTCTTTTCCCTCCCTATCTCTTTCCTTTCTCTTTCCCAGACACAGTGCGAATATAAATCTGCACCGTAAACTATTGACCAAAGAACTGGATGACATGGGACTGGATTCCTCTCAGCCCTCCCTTAGCAAGGACCTCCGTGATGAATTCTTGATGAAGATCTATGGTGCTCCACCCCATTTGGGTTTTGATCTACGGGAAGACACCTCCTCCCCAGCAGGTACCGAGGACTCCCACTTGAATGGATACGGACGGGGCATGTCAGAAGAATACATGGTATTAGACCTGAGCACCACCTCCAGCATCCAGTCGAGCAGTAGCATTCATTCTTCCAGAGAATCGGATGCAGGAAGCGACGAGGGCATCCTTTTGGATGACATGGATGGGGTCAGCGACAGCGAGGAATCATCACACAAAACTGAGGCTGCAGCCTTAGGGGTCAGCTTGAGTGCTGAAGTCCCGGGGTCTCTCATGTTTAACAGCGTTTCCATGAATAACGGTGGGATCATGTGTAACATTTGTCACAAAATGTACAGCAACAAGGGGACTCTCAGGGTGCATTACAAGACGGTACACTTACGTGAAATGCACAGATGTAAAATCCCTGGATGCAACATGATGTTTTCCTCGGTCCGCAGCCGAAATCGCCACAGTCAGAACCCGAATCTGCATAAAAACATTCCCTTCACTTCATTAGATTAATCCTGAGATGGACACGGTCAGTGCCAGCTCAAAAAGTAAGACCTTATACTTCTTCAAATTGCCATTTACAGACTCTTCTATAAATATATATAAATATAAATATATAAATATATATCTTTTTTTTCCTTTTTTAAACAAAACAGAAAAAGACCGGGTGCTTTCCTTCCTCCTCCTGCCCCCCTTATTTTTTCCCCTATTTTTTGTTCCTTTGTTTTTTGTTATGTTTTTTTTAACAGAAAAAAAATTATGTGGGTTGGGATAGTATCTTTAACCTGGGATAACATTTCCACTACTTAAAAAAAAAAAAAGAATAACAAATGAACTTACCTTTTAAAACTCACTTTTGTTATAAAATTTGTGGTCATCTCCAAAGAGACTGTTTCTTCCATCAATGACTGTTGCCTGCAATCTTAGAAGAAGAAAGGAGAAAAAAAAAAAGAAAACAAAAGAAAACAAAAACCCCTAAAAACAAAGCACTGCAAAGATATTAAAACGAGAGAGAAAAAGGACAACTTCAATTGTTTTTGTGTATTTTAAACCTTTGAGAGGTTCGTCAACTAAGCATGGCTGTTAACACTTGTATATATTGAGCCTCAAAAGGCCCATGATGTAAAACAATTGTATTGATGGTGGTTTAACCTTTTCTTTGTTTGTTTGTTTGGGTTTTGTTTTTGTTTTACATTTACATTTACATCCAGCTGTGAGATATGTGGGGGGTTGGGTGGGAATAGTTTGCTGGCTAGCTCAATTCATTTATATTAGCTTCAGTGCACATTTTTTTTAAAGAAAAGAAGAAAACACAAGTTCCATTTTTAACTACCTGCTAGAAACGCATAAGGGGAGGTGCTGGCATGCTTTAGAGCACCTGATTGGATACAGGTTTTCCTTGTTTTGTTTTTATTTTGGTCTTGTTACGATTACATAAATCCAGTCATGCACTTTTTTCTTACACGATGTGGGGATGTGTAATAATATCCATACCCTTTTTTCCCTTAAAAGTATTGCCATACTATCAGTGTCTTATTAAGAAAAAAAAAAAACCCTACCCTTTGTTCCAAGTGGTGTCTGGTCAGTACGGCAGGCAAATGCTGAACAAAATCCTGTTAGGCGTGAACACGAAACTGCCAACTTTGCACAAGTTTTCAGTAACCAAAATATATGAATCGGCTGGTATTAACCACAGGCTAAGGTTGTGGCAGTGAGGAAAAAGAAAAAAAAAAAACAATCCTAGGAACTGGGGAACAACGGAATACCATACCTAAATGTATTTCTCAGGTCCTAAAAATTATGCATGTTCTCAAAGCAAGGCCACAGTTTTATTTTTAAAAAAATGAAAAAGAGGAGAGGGGAAAAAAAGAAAGCAGAAGTTGCTTATTAAGAGACAACGGAGGAATTTCTTCAACTACGGGAGGATGAACTTTTTAGGAAAGTGGTGCAAGCCAGCAACTGTTAACCTGGAAGTAAGCCCCATTACACTTGGGACGGGAGGGTGTCTGTGGGGGGTGGGTGGGCTTCCTCTCTTGGAGGCCTGCGAAAGGTTGCATTGTGGTTCTCTCAAAGCCACTCTTGATCTCTCCCCCACCCAAAACTAATTGCCCTGCCAACATTCAGGAAATGCAATTGTATGATGTAATGCTGTTGAGTGTTTACCCACACTGATTCGGCACACTTTCAGGGTGTGTTGAAGCTCTGAAGACAATGGCGTTATAAATCTTCTTCCTGCCCCCCCCTTCTGTCCCCTGAAGAGATCAATAGAAAAAGGCTTGGGAGGGGTAGGTGAGGTTTTGGAAGACATACATCTCTGTCACATTCCCTATGCACCTCCGTGACTTAAGAGATGGCTTCAAAATTCCTGAAATGAAGACGTTCCTGCATTCCTGACTGAAGACTTGGGCTATGGTTGTCTTCCAAAAAAAAAAAAAAAACCCACCAGCCTCTGCAGAGTTGACTGGTCCGCACTGGAAGGTGCAATAGACTGATTAAGGCATGTTTTTATAGAAGCAATCAAAAGCCATTAACGGCACAAGCACTTAAAGCTTGGGAAATATGCGCTGTTCATTTTGGTTGGGTGACTATCCTTCAGTAGAGACAAGCTAACAGCTATCGGGGAGTGGGGGGGGGATCCAGAGCAAATTTCAATGTTTTGGTTGTTTGTACTTTCCAAAAGTGGTTTGTCGGAGAGAATCACAGTGGAGTTAGGAATGACCATCCAAGAAGAAACCAGAGAGGAATCTGCACAGCAACCCATTTCAGTTGTTCCCGTTTCTGGTGTTTACACATGTTGTCTGAGCGTGGCAAGCCACACTAGCAGCCTCTTTAACCCCAACCTACTGAGGGAATGATATTTGCTCAAGCTCGGCAGTAAAGATCATGATGGTATGTGTCATATAACAAATCCTTCCTTGGAAGGATACCTAAGGAGTATTTCCCCCATGTAGTATATTACTAATGCACAGAAAATGTTTTTCTTTCTTAGAAGTTTCTCCTGTGACTGCAAAACCAGAAACGGTTATTTGTTTTCAGCCTTCGAGTTGAACCAGTTACGTACTTTCCAACCACTGTTCATTGTATAATAACTCAGTCTGTTAATTTTATTAGCGGAAACGATTCCTCCTCTTCATTGGCCCCAATCCAACTATACAGTAGTTTGTGGTGACCAAACCCCATTAAAGCCATGGGAAGAAATTAGTCACAGCTAATGTAAATCCTAACTTGATCATAAGTAGCTTGGTGCCTTTGTATACTAAGTATTTTTCCCCTAACAACAAAGCAAAAACAATAGCTGCAGTATTTTCCATGCGTGTTTAAAAAAAGAAAAGAAAAGAAAGTGGGGGATGAAAGCTTCCTTAATTAAAATGCCTTATTTCAAATCACATTTCTCTGATTTCAGTTAGTGAGCGTAAGTCTTGACATGATCTCCAGAATTCATAGAGACTCTTGAAAAATACTGACCAGTTCGTCAAAGTATGTTTATATCAAAAATATGTTTACATCAAAACTGCCACAATTTTTGCTGACTTGATTTTTTTTTATTTGTGCTTTGTCTTTTTCTCTTTTTTTCCCCCAAAGTCTTACTTTTTAAAAAATAAAATTGAACGGAGAGAGGTTTGTTTTGTTTTATGCTGCATAATGTGTCGTATACTTGTGAAAGGGAACAGAGAAAGCAAAGGTGCAATCCTTCTCAAACTTAAATGACATTCGGTAGTGCTACATGATTGTCCTGCACTGTGTTTTCAAACACTTATCAAGATAGTAAGAACAAAGCAAGAAGAAATATTGACAAGGCAAAACAGACCTAAACAAATGGCTAAATGATATCTAAGGAACAAAAAAGAAAAAAAAACACTGTTTTTGAAGTATGTATGGTATAAATAAATATCATTTTTAATGAAAAACATGCTTGAGTTATATAAATAATTCTTTCCCGAATAAATCACTGATCTGCATTCTCATTTTACATTTGTTTCTGACAAAGGTCAAATGGCTTTAGTAAAGCAGATTGGAAACTTGAACATCATCAACTTATTCAGCAAATAAGCCGAACAGACATCTGTTTTTTTTACAGAAAATGAAACGGGATGATAGCAAATTTTGAATCGGAAAAGAACAGGTACATGGTTTAGACGCTAGCATTCTTGTCTCCCAAGATTTTGAAGTAGAAGACAAGGTGCTATGGGAATTCTAGACTGCTTGTATCAACGAAAATATAGTTTAAACCTATTCGTCATGCCTTTGTGATCTTCGATTCATATACTAGCTTGTGGAGGTGTGTATCCAAAGGCCTTTCTAGCCATGGGAAAGCAGAAATTCTGTGAAACATTTTCTCTCTCTCGCTCTCTTTCTTTTGCAAGGTATTGATGTTTAGAGATGGGTGAATTGCAAATTCAGTACCGGGCTGCAGAAACTACCTATTTCAAGTTCTGTTGCAGTTCTTCTGGGGCTGCATTAAGGGTTTCAACTGGTTCTTTTAAGGCTGGTTAAGACTCATGTTTTTCCTCAATATAAAGAATTGTCCCAAAGTAATTTAAAAGATTTTATTGTTACCCAGTGCATCCCCAAACCTTTGATTCATGAGTCAAAAGAAAAAATAGGACCCCAGGAACAAAACAACATGATTTGCTCATTCTACCTGAGCATAATGGAAAGTGGTAGTATTTTAGTGAAACAGTGAATGGTACTTACCCTCTTAATCCAGAAAACAGAGAGTCTTAGATACACGGTTGTCAATAATCTCAAATGGTGGACATGATCATAATATCTGCCCATTTTTATTATGTGCCACTTGCATTGCACACACCTAAAAAGGGCAGGGCCTGTCATTGATGCACAGAAACAATGCACAGCTACCTAGGTAGATTTCCACCCAGTTCTGCTAATTTCACAAGCACTCTAGTAAAGTTAATGTTATAAAGTAATGTTATACCTTCTCAGCTTCAAATGAGTGATGCTAGAATGTGCTCTAATCTGTAATCCCAACTAATTTAATGCACAGGCAAAACAATCGTTGCAACAGATTAGCACTAAGGACAAAACCTGGAAGTTTAATCTGTGGTCCCAATTCAGTTTAGAAGATGGGTGGGGAAATGAAATCTACCTTCGAAGATCTTTTAAGTTTTAGGAAGGCTTTTATCAAAGCTCCAGCTGCCAATAACATGAGAGATACCTACACAAGATTCAGTTCTTATACAATGGTTATACAATGAAACAGGTTGGTAAAACAAACAAAAAACAAAAAAAGTTCCACACAGAAGTGTGCATGAACCAAAATTAGAAATAAGTTCCTGCTATGTGCAATTTTAAAGTAGTTTTTTTTCCATTTTGCATCAATAATATCTAAGCATTTTCAGCAACTAGGCTGAATTATTCCCTAGATTGCAATTGAAATTTTGGGAAAGTGCTCAAAGTCTTGTTATATTTAGAATGCTAGTTTAGGATCAACTAGTCTGTGTTTTTCTTTTAACTCTAAAGATTTGGAGAAGTTTTGTAGTAGATCACTGTACTGTAGATCCACCGTAGTGAATCACTGATCACTGAGTACATTTCTGATTGTCGTCGTTTCTTTCCAAATCTCCTGTTGTTCCCATTTAATAATTTCTTCTAATCAGGGCTATCATTTCCTTTCCACCTGGGCCTGGTGGCTCAGCAGACTGATAGCATTGTGATTAACACCAGCTGTCTGCAATTACTGTAAGTTCGAATCTCACCAGGCTCAAGGTTGATTCAGCCTTCCGTCCTTTCTAAGGTAGGTAAATTGAGGACCCAGTTGTGGGGGCAATAAGCTGACTTTGTATAAATATACAAAAGTATGAAGGCTATTGCTTAACACATTGTAAGTCTCCCTGAGTCTCCGGAGAAGGGCGGCATATAAATCAAATTAATAATAATAATAATAATAATAATAATAATAATAATAATAATAATAATAATAGTTTGTTGCTTTGTTAGATTGTTATTCTGCCTTTATTACTTTATAAGTAACTCAAAGTGGTGAACATACCTAGTACTCCTTCCTCCTATTTTCTGCACAGCAACAACTCTGTGAGTTGGACTGAGAGTGACTGGCCCCAAATCATCCAGACTGTTTTCATGCCTAAGGCAAGATAGAACTCATACTCTCCTGGTTTCTAGCCTGGTGTCTTAACCACTGTATCAGACTGGCTTTTATTTTACTTTACTTTATTTTATTTTATTATTTTAATTTAATTTATTTTTTAATTTTTTATTTATTTTTACCCTTTTCATTTGTTTTTGGGTAATTCCAGCAAACACAGAGGAGGGACATAGATTTGCCATCCCAACCTGTATTTCCACCATTAACCTTGAGGTCTTAAAAAAAAAGGGATTCTTTTATATTAATAAATGGAAGAGATAATTCAGCCAGTCTAATAGCAACAATTATATGTACTTAATCCCAGGGAAACATGCATAGAATGTTGATTGATCAGCTCAGGTTGACTGCTAGTAACCACATAGATTTTTTCCATGACAATCTGTCCCTTACCTGGTTATTCAGGTCTTCCAAGCTACATGGATTGACAATATAACTGTCAGATCTCCTTGGTAAACCAGATAGGAAAACACCAGTAGATGAGCTAAATCTACTTTATTGTAAGGCTATATTAACAGAATCTTGCAAGTCTAAATATTCAAACTTCCTTTCCCCACTTTTAATTGATTGACTAGGGTGGATCCTTTCTAAGTTTTTTTTTCGCTGACCATTAAGCCACTGGGGGCTTCTCCGTCTCTTGTCTGATCACTCCCTAGGCAGGATCTCTTTTCCTCATCCCCCAAGATCATCTACACATTCCATTGCAGTAACTGAGTTTATTCACCTTGCCGATGGTCATCTTCTTTTCCGTGTACACATAAACCTACACTTCTAGCCATATTAGAATGGTTAGATACTAGCTGTGGCTTTCATAGTAAGCTGTGATGATGTCAGAATGACAACACTTGGCTCAGAATGTAATATTTAAAGCCCTGTTCTTACAAAATAAAGAAGTTGTGACATTTGTGTGATCGTTTCATCATAGGGCATATGTCATATGTCCCCATGTCCCTCCAATACATTATCATGGTACTGATATAATGAATATCACTATGTGTCTAGTCTACTGGCTGTTCAGACATGAAGGCTGGGGTTAAGCATGTTTAGTGGCCTTTTAGTAGCTGAGTTTCATAGTATCTTAAGCTCTGAGTTGATTCACTTTAACCATTGTTTGTTAAAACAATCCATTCTTAATTCTTCCTTTGTGTTTCTGTGTTCTTAGCTATATTTGCTTCACAATTTTGTGAATTGAACGGAGGCATAGCTTCAGCATAGAACCAAACCAGGAAACCCCAAACAAATCATGTGGGGCCCTTTTATGCCTTATGCTAACCTACTTTATAAATCATTAAACCTA